CTCTGATCCACTTTCAAGTCATTCTCCATAGCTAGGGCTAACAGTAGTCTCAGAGTACTGTGATGTATAACAGGCGTAAAAGTTTCATTGTAGTTTAATCCCTTTATTTGTGTAAAACCTCTGGCAACAAGTCTAGCTCTGTACCGTATCTACCCCGTAACTAACTTCTTAATTGCATCAAGCTCTTCTTGAATTGCTTTAAGCCATTTATCTCCTTCTGGTCTGGATAAAGCTTCGTCAAGTGTTAAAGGATCTTCCTTCATATCCTCTTCTGCATAATAAAGAATATAATCATTATATTTTTTCGGCTTCCTTTCTCTAAGAGGATATCTTCGTTTAGGAACATCATAAGTCTTCATTGGGGTTACCGGTTCGAATTTCATTTCTCATTTCACCTGATTGTAACTCTTCTCCAATAATGTTTTCCATACACTGCTGTTCAACATCTTGACAGTCAAAAAATCTTCATGCTGTTCCACTCGATGAGGTTCAGGAGCATTAACAACTTGAGTCATTATAGATTTCTCGTAACTGTCATCTAATGTTACCACTTCCACGATTTCATCACAGTCGTTAGCATGAACTCTTATTTGATTCTCAAAGAAGACAACATCTCTCGCTTTGTGTAAGCCATGCGTTACAGATTCTATAAGACGATAACCTTTTCTTGTTTCACAGTAGCCAACAAATAGCAATTCTTTTGTCTTTGAGTCAAATTTTCTACGCTTCTGTTTTGGAACATGCATAAACGCCCGGCAAGCGAAAACCTTCAAATGTCTTACGTCAACCTTTCTGTTAGACCATGGTTCTTCAGGTGTCTTCCCTTTTACAGCACGTGTAAGACATCTGTTCTTCAGATACACCGAGGTATTGACCGCTTCAGCCCAATATTTCTTGCTTCTAGCTCGTTTCACAATTGAACGATTAGCTCGTTCAATCACTCCATTTTGTTGCAGCGTATGTAATACCATTATTCCGCAAAAAAGTATTTACGCTTTCATTAACGTATTCTTTCCCGTTGTCTGTCCTAATTGCCTTTAGCTTTTTACCTGTCTGATTTTCAACAAGCGTTTTAAACTCTATCAGCTTCGAATAGACCTCTCTTTTGTTCCGCAAGAAATAAACAAAAGTTTTTCTTGAATTATCGTCAATAAACGTCAGAAAATACCAATACCCTGCAAATGAAGCAGACTCCATAGGGCCATAAATGTCACCATGGACCAATTCAAGAATTTCAGCGGCACGTGTACTCTCTTGCCTCGGAAAAGGTAATGAAGTTGGCTTACCTTTCAAGCACGACACACACTGTACTGAATTTGAATCCTTAAAACATATACCTCTCGCCAGTTTGTCACGAAGTAATTTCATATTGCCAGGTCCTAAATGTCCAAGTCTGCGGTGCCATGGTTTAACATCATCATCAGTAGTTATTTTCAAAGCTGAAAACAAGTCAGGATTAAAATTAGGTTTCACTACATAGATCCCTTTCTGTTCCTTACATACCAACTCAACCTTACCGATTACTTGAAATTCATTAGCTTTATATAATTCACAACCTCTCTTCGAAAATGCTACCACAAAGTTACGACTCACTAACGTACTTACAATCAATAGATTCACACTCACGTTCAACTCATCCGAACAATTATCACCTCGGCCTTCACCATCCACTCTGCTCCCATTCGCGCAGGATATTGGAACTGGCTCCTCCAACTTCACATAGTTATCTAGCCAATCTCTCCTGTTAGTCATATGAAATGAGGCTCCAGAATATAACATCCACTCTTGCGAATCATTCTTCCTGGCACGGAGTGCTGTATATGTGGTGTGCGCTTGACAGTTATGCTTCTTCGGGCAAAAACGAGCTTTATGTTCTTCTCCGCACACATAACACTCAATTTTCTTATTAGCTGTCACACTGGATTTCCCCATGGGATTTTCCTTTGCTTTACTACTTCTCTTTTTGTAGCACCTAAAGCATTCTGCGGCTGTGTCAGTTGTCAAATTGACATATATCTGCAGCAATTTTGTTTTAACGTAATTAGTTGTCAACGTGATATTGCTGTTTTCCATCGTCATCCTCATTGGCTCATACTGATCTCCTAGCCCTGTAGCCTTGTAATCTTGATAATACAAGACTTTGCAGAATTAAGTTGTGATTTCATTAATTGTTACCATTCTTTTGTCTTTAATTGTAAAGTTAAATCATAACATTTTATTGCAAAGTAAATATAAAAGGTATTTATTTATTATATTAATGCATGGACAACATTAACAATGTCAAAACAAAGAATTTCTTTAGATGTATAAATAACATCCAAAGAAACTAGTTGTTTTGACAACCACAGATTGTGATAATTACAAAATGTTATATCGCTCACTTGCGACAAGAACGACGAAACTTGAAGTGACTCTGAGAAGTCTTGGATTTTAATAGATCCATTACGTTGGACACTGCTCACAAGTTTTGCGCTTCGGTAGTCTTACGCATACGGCCTTTGTTTTTACGGAAATCTACGCTACCTTCATCGCTCCCACCGTTTGAACCAAAGATATACGGTTTCCCTCAGAATTTCGTGTCCGCAATTAATTTATTTCTTATGTCACTTGCACTGCACTACATAGACAAATGGATATGGGCATTTCTCCTAGAAGGACTAAATTCTCTGACTTCGGTGGTCGAATTTTTTTTGATAATTTCGGGAAAAACGTTGAGCGGGAAGGAAAACGAACTCAAACTTACATAAGATTCCGTTATTTGGGAAACTGGATTCTTAACAGTTAATGACATATTTGATCCACCGAAATCAGAATAATTTAACAAAAGGCATAATGACAATAAAAAACTTCAATAATCTACAAAAATATTCACTAATATGACTACCTATTAAATCAAGCTTTAAAAATTAAAATTTATTTATGAATCGACCAGGATGACGAAAACAAATTTCACTGTATGATTATTTATTAAAAGTAGTTTTCAGTTTGGCTGTTCAGCTTTTTTTCAATTACACAAAGTATTTCCGTATCTCTTTTAAAAGAAATTTTAGAACGCAATCTGCAGCTACAAAAGCAATAATTTTTTTGGGACTAGCGCGATTAACATCTTTCATGACGTTTTATGCATAAAGAGGTAATTTATGCAAACTTCAAAATCTTTCCTTTCGCTTTTTCTTCTCCTTTGTCTATTTTTTTCTTTAAGCCTTTCATTACTAAATTGGATCGCTTCTCGATCTGCAATGGTCATCATCGAACTTCTTGATCTCTTTGATTTTTTTCTATTTTGATTTTCCTTATTCATTTTCGGCGGGAAGCATGTAGTAATATAAAATTGTGAAAATCGATAAAAATAATTAAATATTTATATGAAAAAAAGCGTATAAAATTCTTACTTTTCAAAGAAAATATGGCTACGATGGCAGTTTTTTCCGACTTCGGTGGAAGCTTTTCTGCATTCGGTGGCATAAAGTCCACCGAATCCAAGGCCACTGGATTCAGAAAATATATTTTTTTTCGATATTACTCGTAAACGACAATACTTGTAGAACCATTGAATTGTTATTATATTTTAGTCGTTATAACACATATTATAAAAAATATTACATACAACCATACATACATCGTATACACCGAATTCAAAAATCAACCTAGACCAAATCCACCGAATTACGTTTATACACGCAAAAAGTCCTAAAATCGACAACAAATCATCCCTGTAAATGAGTGGCACTGCAACTGTAATAGACAGCCGTGTAGCTTACCATCAGGTACACGACTTGTTCGTCCTGTCACCTAATATATTAAAAAAAAGCTTTCGACCTATGTATATTATACAGTCTATTTTTTGTAGATTTTTGTTTTCATAAATAAGTGGAGGGGAGAATGGACACAGAAAATTGCGGGTTTGGAGAAATGCTCATATAGTGTACCGTTCACTTATGATTATCAATAAAAAAAATTGAGGGTTGTTTAACCGAATAACTGACATTGTTGCCGCTCAAGCTAGCAAAATACGCACAAAAAGCTTACAAACGGTGGCGCTTGTGTTTACATTATATTGCAACTGCATTGTGTATACATATTTTTGAAGACGATGTAAATATTACTAAAATCTAACAAATTTCGTAGTTTTAAAAATGGATACATATTTATGATAAAATGACCATCCTAATTGTTTACATTTTAATGCAAATGCATAGTATAAATATTTGTATAAACGATATGGATACATATATTTAACACCAGGAGTGTATACTTTTCGCAGGTTGTAGTTTGTTTACTTTTCTTTGAAATAAAAGTAATCAATTTTTAAAAATATGTGGTGATTACATATTTTTGAAAACAGCATAAGGTTACATATTTTTGAAATATCTAATATTTACATATTTTTGAAAATAAGTGAACGTATACATTTCATTGCACGCGACTGTACTAAATATTTAAAAATACAATTTGTATGGAATCGGTACATTTGATTTTTTCTTCATTGTTTACAGGTTTAAGGACTGTCATTCTAACTAAATATCCTTTTTTTACAAAATAAGAATTTTAGTTAGAATGGAGTGTTTAAAAATTAATATTTAGGTATAACAACAACAATTGTACAACTATTTCATATACTCGTACACGTAGGTTGATATTATACATGAAGATACCTACCAAAAAAATGTTATTTTTTGCAAGCTTGTATATATACATAATGTAGATACGTATTAGTAAACGTTCGTGCATCCCACTCGAACTTGTACTAAAAGTAGCGAATGATCGCTATTTGTCGCACTCGCACCGTTCCTACTGTATAAAAGACAGCGAAATATCCACGCAGACAGGGTTCTGACACTTGAATTGCACTTTTTGAACCTTAGACTATTTATTATTTATTTTATTTATTCCTTTATTTTTTTCTTTCCTAAGTAAGTTTTTAATCTTAATAATATCTAAGTTTTGAACGCATACTACTTGCTGTCACTTTTGTGTCACTTGCTGTATTGATTCACCTCACCTCTCCTGTCCTCGATTACTGTCGTGTGTTTAGAACGCCCTTTTTTCTTCAATTTTTTGCGAAAACCCAATAAAAGTTGTTAAAACGTCATGACTAGTTCCGGAGAACAGTTAACTTTGGCGAAGGACATAAAAAGAGCTATCGAATTGCTTGAGAAATTGCAACAAAGTGGTGAAGTGCCTGCTACAAAGCTTGCAGCTTTACAAAAGGTGTTACAAAGCGATTTCCTGAACGCTGTACGTGAAGTTTACGAACATGTGTACGAAACGGTTGATATACAAGGTTCGGCGGACATACGCGCGTCGGCTACAGCGAAAGCAACTGTGGCAGCGTTCGCGGCTGCCGAAGGGCATGCTCATCCTCGCGTTGTAGAGCTTCCAAAGACAGAAGAAGGTCTGGGTTTCAATGTTATGGGTGGTAAAGAACAGAACTCCCCCATTTATATCTCTCGTATCATCCCTGGCGGCGTAGCTGACCGCCACGGAGGACTAAAAAGAGGAGATCAGTTACTATCTGTCAATGGAGTGTCAGTTGAAGGCGAGAACCATGAAAAGGCCGTGGAATTATTAAAGCAGGCTGTTGGATCTGTAAAATTGGTAGTGCGTTACACCCCCAAGGTTCTAGAGGAAATGGAAATGCGGTTTGATAAGCAGCGAACGGGCCGGCGGCGTCAAAATTACAATTAAAATTTATGTTGTGTGTATTCTAATTTGTTTGTTGTAGGAAAAATATATTGCATTATGAGAGATCTTCAGTAATATTAACAAATCCTTAGAAATAATGCTCAAGAAGTTGAAGAGGAGAAAATTAATTATTTCAAGTTATGTGAAGAGTTATTCAGTATTTTGATCTCGTGAATGTATGAAAAATTATGCACCGAGAATATGTTAACCAAATTAAAAATATAGGCATCTTCACTTATGTTTAATAATTGGTGCCAATGTTGAAAGTTGCAAAACCATTAAAATATCACTGTTCTTAATTCTTCAATTTGAAAAGGTCTCAACACTAGTTTTACACCTCTATAATTTAGTGAAATTAGATAATTAAGTGCCTATATTAGTTGATTGGTTGAGTTATACATATTTTATAACTTTAAGTATTATTGTTGATAGTGGAATGACTACTTTAGAGAAATAGGAATTATAACATTAATTTTAAGAAAAGCTGCACTGTATGTCAATGTAGCTAAGAAGCACTATTCTTTAGAATTATGATTGCACCACACTTGGGTTAATAATTATCTTGATTGTTACACTTAGAGCAAATTTATATTTTATTTCGGTTTAAATCTTATTAGCATAAAGCACCTTAAAAAAGTTGCAATTACAAGAAATAAAAATCAATATACATATTAATTACTTTTATTTACATTTTATCATATGAGGATATGATGCCACTTATCATCACAATGCCATGTGACCACTGCATCCACACTATATGCTGATATAGTGTTTCTTATTGGTATGTGAATGACAAGTGGTATCCACCCATAAATTAGCACATGATATATCAGTTAGGGCCTCTACATTTTTCCAACATACTTGTCAACTTGTAGCTGAACTAATGTTTCTTCTATAATGGATGCTGAAAGGTGACTCAACAACAAAGGGTCCATAGACACACGATAAGAATATATTTCTACCAGGAATCAAAATTGCCAAAATCAAAGTTTTTGCCCTTCCTAGGTTTCTTAGCTGGAACTTCTTCATTTTTGGTAGATTTGCCACTAGTGCTAGCAACTTGGAGATTAAGGTACTTCCCTACTCCTTCTCTGAACACTTTTAGTGGTTGTTTTGTTGCTTTCTTAGGCTTAACACCTGGTCCATTTTCCTCCGCTTGTCTTTTTAATTCTTCTGCTCTTTCTTTTGTCAACTGCAAATAAATTTGTAATGGTCTACATTTAACTAAATTACCAGAAATTTAGTAAATTAAAAATCAAATTCGTGTGTTTCTCAATGTAGACTACATTAGGATGTAAACAATCTAAAATATTGATTACCAGTTCTTCAGCTTCAGCATAAGGGTCAACAAACACTTGAGCAACTTCAATAACAATGTCATGTATGGGCCGATCCTTGTTGTCCACTTCAATTTGCTCCATTGTGGTAAGAGTGTCCATACCGCCAACTAGCTTGCCAAAAATCGTGTGTTTGCCGTCTAGTTGTTTACAGGAACGGAATGTTATGTAACTGGAAAGTGAATAATGTCTCGTTTTCCTAATGTGATTTTTAAAAAGTTTCAAATATATATTTTTTGAAACCAAATGTGTCAGTTGAGCAATGTTTAGTTTCATGATAGGATAATTTGATCAGTCGCACTTTAAGATATTATACAAACTGTCATTCTTTTGATCTGTGGTATTTTACAGAATGTAACTGATAGAATACTTATACAATCCACAGCCACAGTTGTGTCTAAAGTTTTATAAACATACAATGTAAAAAGGTTAAAGTACATTAGACATTTATAAATAACTTACAATTGTGACCCATTAGTGTTAGGCCCCGAATTTGCCATGGCCAGTACGCCTCGTCCAGTGTGGTGAAGGTTAGGTCTCACTTCATCCTCAAATGGCTTCTTCCATATCGACTCTCCACCCAGTCCAGTGCCTGTTGGATCACCACCTTGTATCTAAAAATAAACAAAATTTCTTAAAGCACATCCTTTTTATAAATATTCATTGTCACTTACTAGTGACGTAGAATTGGAATTATAAGATTTCTTAGCTAAGTTCATCCTTATTTAGATGTTAATACCAAATAAAAATATTTACCATAAAATTTCTAATAGATCTATGGAATTTGGTCCCATTGTAGTAACCTTGATTGCATAGTTTGATGAAGTTATGACATGTTTTTGGAGTGGCGTCACAGTATAATTCTAAATTCAGCGGACCCACATTGGTTAACAGTCGCACGTAACCTGGCAATAAAATTATAATGGTATTTATTCACGGTTTTGTATGTCCACTTAACAAAGAGCATCAATTCAAAAAATTTCACAATGTTCCATTATTATTTTGTATTATAGTGGTCCTTGGTTGTAAATTTATTCAAAAGATCTCCAATGACACAGACATTACAAATTGAATAACACACCTGACCTTTCTGAGCTGTCTGGTGCAAGTAGATCTCATGACCACTTTTGATTCTCAACAACTTTTAATAAGAGGAATAATATGAAACCTTTCTTTTTAACTCTGTCGTAGACAACATCATCTTCACAGACAATGGCAGCCTCGTGTACAGTCTCGGGCGCCATTGCAGTTGACGTGAAACCCGCTGCCACCATACCCGTAGAGTAGTGCGCTGCATTAAATTTGTCTGCTTTCTGGCAGTATAATGATAATAATCAACATTATCAACAGAACATTAATTTATAAGTTGATGAATTTAGGAGTGCCAGAATATTTATTATATTAACTATTAAGAATTTTGATACTCCTTTTGTTATTAAATGTTTGGACCCTCTTATATTGTTGTAACTTTCAATAATATTAACTTTAAACAAAATAACATAAAATAAACCCCATTCCTATTTCCTTAGCTTCATCAGGCAATTTTGATAACTTTCATAAACTCTATACAGCTTACTACCATCCCAGTACCTCTTTCTTAGTTTCCTTGACCTCAGGAGCTTTGTACTCTCTCTCTAGCTCTTGTAAGATATCCCTTGTCTCATTTGACACTGTCTTAAGCCTTGCGTGAGGGTCCTTCCTTAATGCTATTTCCTCTGTAAACATTCCAAACTGTAGATGAGTTTGATTACAAGGCATATTTTCACTGTCAATTTTTCCACTATTCTGTAATGCATACTTTTCATAACAAGATTAATATATAAACTTATTTTACTGGGTGTTGAAAGCCATAAAAAATTTATTAGGAAACAAATTATATTCCTCAGAATAGAGGTGACAATGTTGTACAGATGACTGAATAAATTCAAGAAGTTGTTTATGCCTTTCTGCATGCAAATATTATTCACAACTTACATAATGAAAATAGGCAACCTTTAATTACTTACCCTCAGTTTCAACTCGTAAATTATTCTTAATATGGTGAAAAAGCGAAATATTAAATTTGTCTAAGTTTTGAGGATCCTGTATTGTAATGATATCAGATCTAGCAAACGGGGTATCATTGACCAAATCCTTCCAATTTTTTCCTTTAATATTGAGTTGTTCAACAGCTTCATATGAATACACATTGCCACTGGTTTTAATTGCCACAATGAAGGAATTCTTCGTGAATGGCTTGAAAAGAACCGGACAGTGATAGTTTTCTTCTGCATTTTTAAAAAAATTCAGTTTCGTTAAGGATTTCACATCAAGTTTCTGGAACAAATAATGCCTAATAGAGGTAATTATCAAAATAAAAACTTTACCCATTGCATTATTATTACAACTGTTTCTTGTTGAAGTAGGAAGATATTACAGGCACAAACTTGCTGCAATCCTGATAAATATATTTCACCTCTTCCACATGCAATACACTATATTCAAGTTAGTGTTAGTTTTTGTTTGTTAGTTAGTTCACACTACTATATAAAAATAATAAGGACATAAGATACAGGTGTAAGGGCAATTTGGCATTAACAAGTGTTAAAATCGTAAGGGCTAGTGCATAAAGGTCTAATAAAAAAATACTCTTTTCAAGAAAGTCAAAACTGTAGATGAGTAGCAAATAGAGAAAGCAACATGCATGCGAAGTGCCCTGATGCAAGAGCCAACTATAATAATAATTAGTTTGCCATTATGAATGCGGCTTTAGTAGTTTATCTCTGACCAATCATGTGAGGCTGCGTTTTCTCAGTACTAGGCATAGATTTAGCATGGTACTAGGTCGCTAACTAAAAAGGTATAGTAAAATAGTTTCATACATATCTGCTTTCAGATAATTGTTTTCTTTTTAAATAATATTTGGTTTTTACTTACTTTCCCAGTGACAGGGTTGACTTTAAACTTCTTTACAAACTGAATAATAGCCTGTAACTCAAAGATATTGCCATCAGCATCGCAATAAGGGTCGTCAAATGGCTGTAGACACAAACAACAGTGGTCGTATGGCAATCGTTTGAAAGTCGTGTCTTCTTCCACTGCAGTACCTGATCTTTTACCTCCATACAGAGTGGTCCATTCTGTGTACGTCAAGTACCTAAAACAAGTAAATTTTTCATGTATTACAATACAATACGAGAGACGCTTTGAGGGTTTGCAGAAAAGAATCTACTCACATTTTATCCTTTTGATGCTGACGTTTACCCATTGTGCTGAAGATGTATTACTAATACTTAGAAGAAATTCACGCTTGGTAAAATAGAATTAACTGAGAAAATGCAAGCAACAAGATAATCACAAAATGCAATACATTCGTAGGACGCGATTATTAAATTTCTAAAGAGCAATCTAATATGATAGAAAGTACTCAATAATCAATTAATTTAAGCAACTATCTCTTTTCATTTTCAAATTCTCACCATTACCATGCCAAAATACTTGTCTTAATTCATTTGTCAAAACATCATCACTGCCCTTTTTCAGTTTCCAATTTTACCTTTTTACAATCTATTTAGGAAAACTTTGGAGTAAATGTAATTTGTATATTATATCATGTGATTCAATGCCTATGATTCAATGTTTTAAAAAATAGTCTGAAACGCAGTTGATCTAATCATAATAAAACAATGATTTAAATTATTATTTTGTTGCTGACATTTTTTAGTAGTAACCAGAACAGTTGTTATTGGCAATATACAAATTGTTTTTTTAAAACATGTCGGATAGCGGTTGTGCATGTATCGTGAATTTCGTTAATTTTATGTAGAAAATAACACTTTTTTCCTTTAGGCTTCTCTAAGTAAACAGTAATTTCATAATTCTAAGTAATAAAGTACTTGTTGAGTGGCATATCGAATATTAAAATTACATACTTTCCCGTTGAGCCTGTGTGCATTCCGTGAGTTCTAGCTAGTGGTTGGTTGTTTGTGTTGGTGAGGGCGATGAACAAATTGAGAAAATGTGGTAGTGGATTGAAGCTCTGAATTCTACCGGCTCACTGAAAAATACTCGCATTTCCTACAAGGTACCTTTACATAGTAATAATATCATCACAAGGTGTAGTGGTGATTTCAATCCACGGGAAAGTAACAGGGTGCCTTTGCGCTTTCCAGTGAGGAGCATCTGATGCGGAGGTTCATCCATAATTATATCATAAACCAGGGGTCTATTAAGTTGTGGATAAACTTCCCGTTGTTCTCTTTGTTGTGTCTCGTGAAAAGGTGTTTGCGTTCAGATGGTTGGTGAATGAAAAAAAAATTGTAAATTATCGTATAACGCCAGCCCACAAGATGGCCGACTGTTATTCGTAAGGTACAAATAAATCTTTATTCCCTTACATTTAGTCACAGTTTTTTGATTATTCTCCCTAGCAGACATTTGTAGAGCTGTTGTGATGTTTTATTTGAGCGTGCGGTGTCTCTTGTAGTCGTGCATAGAATGTCTCGTGAAGTCTTTGTTCTAATGGTCTTGTGTTTTTGCTGTAAAAAAAGTATATTTTGTTTTCTTAGTCATACATTATCGAAATCGTCTGATTTTCGGTTCATTGTCAACCTCATGATGTGCAAATCATTCACAATTAAGCTACCTCGGTGACATGTATTGATTTCAGTCATGTCAATGCACTTTTAGTTTGTTTGCTCACACATTTCACGCTAAGGTAACAATCATATTTATTTTTGGACATGATACTTTTGGGAGGTTGTAATTCGTGTAACAGGGGCATAATTTGGGGCTACATTGTGTTTATAGGCATGCAAAATCATATTTAACCAAGTGAAACCTCATTCATCATTGTCACGTGAGCTAACTAGCTTTTTAACACTTGCTTTTTGTGTAGCGGAATGAGTTGTTTGGTGCTTTTAGATAATGTCCGGTGCATCTGGTTCGTCAGGGGGTACGGGACGTGGTCGCGGCGGCGGGGGATCCACCGGCGCAGCTGTTGACAACAAACCAGAAGCAAAGGAAAATAAACCAAACCCAAAAATGTCAAAAGCACTGGGTACATCGGCTAAGAGGATTCAGAAGGAACTAGCAGAGATTACATTAGACCCTCCTCCCAATTGTAGTGCAGGCCCTAAAGGAGACAACCTCTACGAGTGGGTGTCGACTATTCTAGGACCACCTGGTTCAGTTTATGAAGGAGGCGTATTCTTCCTTGACATCCACTTTTCACCAGAATATCCATTCAAACCTCCTAAGGTAATTCTACCATTGAATTTTAAATGAAATAAAAACCTGCTTACTCTTTTAACTATCTATATTAAATCAAAATTTCATGAACACATTTTTACTTTATTCAAAGTATCATCATCATCAACAAAGAATGCAAATCTACTATGCACACACTCATAGCCCCGTACTAAAGAAACTAGTGAAATCTTGTAACGAGTGGGCCATGGACCCACACATAGGTAGACAGTCGCAAATTACACCTAAACTCACAAGAGAAATAAATGTAGACCATAAAGAAAATTCTCTCAGCTTGGGAATCGAATTCAGGACCTCTACATGGCAGTCCAGGATGGTAACCGTTCCACCACCGAGGCAGTTTGAAACAAAAAAGAAGTTCCCCCACTGTGTTGCTTGTGATAGTGACATGCCACATTATGACTTTAGCATAGCAACTAGAACTAGAAACCCATGTACTATAGCAGTGCTATGCTAAACTCTTAGAGTCAAGTTACACTGAAAGAGCAGAGGCGCACAGTGGCTATAGGAACTAACATAGTGCCTCTTTGTATTTCTATACAAGTCCCGTGCCACCTTGCGGCTGGTCGCATTGCCACACTATACATTCTATCACTTCAAATCAATTAGAACTTTTTTCTTAGAAGACTCAAAATGTTAGGTAATACTTTGCGCCTAAATGCTCCTTCGATCGCTGTTCTTTCAGTGTGACTTGACCCTTAGTGTCGAGTTTATTTGGTCGAGTTCAACAGGTATCATTGTGAGAATAGCCCTAGTGGGAACATTTAAGATTGTATATAGGGCTTTAAAAATAACAGTGAAAAAAGAGAATTGAAAAGAGAAACATCAAAAAAATTGTATTGCAGGTAACATTCCGAACTAGGATATACCACTGTAACATCAACAGCCAGGGTGTGATATGTCTAGATATACTCAAAGACAACTGGTCTCCAGCGCTGACAATATCCAAGGTCCTCCTATCAATATGTTCCTTGTTGACTGACTGCAATCCTGGTAAGTATTTTCCAAAAAGTTGTTTGTCATTGTTTGGTTTTATTCACAGTTATCTGTTCAGAGTCTGTATCAAACAGAATCTATTTTAATTATAAATGATGGACATTCATTAATTTTAATATCTATTTAATTATTATGTGGATTTCTTTTTTAGCACTTGATATTTTTTCGCTGTTCCTGTGTTCTATACCAGATTTATGGCCTGCCTATCCATTGTAAAATAAAACGAATAGGATGGTAGAAGGGTAATCACCAGATAATAGCAAAAAAAACCAAGTATATTAATAAATTTCAAGAAAGTAATATACATAGAGTGGATATTACCCTTATCTGAAATCCGGGTTATTATTTAGTTGAAACTATTTTTTTGGATCTAAATCGCGTATATATGTTCTTTTTTTTAAAACAAATCAACGTTTCAGACCAAAGGGTCTGAAACGTTGCAAAGGCAGATCCCATAGTCAGGACTGACTGTAAATCTAGAATGCGAAATGCCTATTTTGTTTTAAGTTTTACCCTTTACATTTGGTAATTCTGAGATTTAAGAGAAAGGTATTATCCACTCACATTAAATATATTCTGTATATATTTAGATATATTTACCAAATTCAATATCTGGTAAACACGCAAACGATATTGAACATTTTTAACCATTTACGCCGTCAACTAATTTGTATTCGACGATTATATTGGAAGGACAGTAATCACTGGACCATGCAAATGTTTGCCAGATTGTTTGCAATAAAAATATATCCCTAAATCATTCTCTGTTGCAAACCATACGTTATTTGTTTCATAAATGCGAAATTTACGGGCTCCATGTGTATCTTCCAGCGGATCCACTTGTCGGAAGTATTGCAACGCAGTATCTTCAAAACAGAGAGGAGCATGATCGTATCGCACGCCTCTGGACCAAGCGTTATGCGACATGATTGCACTGCCACCACAAACCGCCAATATGGAACAACCTAAAGTATCATACTCAGTACCATTTTGTTCTAAAATCCATCCTGTTCACGTAAATATAAGCTTACAATATTATCGAGGTATCCATTGTGTGGGTTTTGCGACAAATACTATTAGGTATAAAGAATGTAGACTACTGTAATTTAAATTCAAGTTACGTTTTGATCACTTGCATTGTTGAATGTATAAGGTTACATTTTTGCTCACCACTTTGTAATTGATGACAATGACAATGTGCATTAGCACTACTATTTCTGGGGTTAAAACTATTTCATCAACCTTACATAAAAGTTTAATGTTATAGGAACAGCAGCTGTTCATAACAAAATATGTATTATTGAATTTATGTTTACAGTAGTTATGTAAATACATGTGTCGCAAAATACCCACGTAGTTTATACGGCTTATTAATGTTTAGTTGCAATTATCGTGATGTATTTAATGTACTGCTTGGAATGGTCTGAAATGTATTATTTTAGGGGACGGGAGTTTTAGTTAGTTACAAATTTATGGACTTTTGTTAATGGTTCTAGTTCTGTGTTTTACGGTATGTGAAGATGTAAGAAATAATCTCTTTAAATAGGTGATTTCAATACAGTTTTAGATCCTTTAGAATTCGGTGTTCTGAGATTCATAGCATTCATAGCTCTTTTCTAGAATTTATTACATCTTAACATGTGCTTATTATTAATCTTTAAAACATAATTACAAACAATAAACCAACACTTATGTTGGTTGACTACCACCGTGAACGAAAATTGAAGAGATTTTCTTCTGTTGTGATCTTCGTGTAGACTTTTTCTTTTTATTACTGGTGAACTTTTTGTTGATTGGCTCAAAAGTACCTAGAGTCGTGAAAATTGTAAAGAAAAAATCTAACTGCCATTATCATACCGTGTAAACACAAAATAAATAAAATTTTACTATAGAATGTGTATTTAGCTATAATATCAGTGAATTGAGTCAATTTTACCGCGGAACTGCGACGATCTCAAAGCACTCACTAACTGTTACTCATTTAGAATGTGGCGACTGTGCGAGACCTATTTATGATTATAATTTTGGAATAAATTACATTGTCTAGTAGAATTGTTTTTGATTTCAGGATTGTAAGTCATTTATTGTTGTATATTAGATGCTTTGATTAGAAGATATGACGAGCAATATCTATTAATTTCTCATAACTAGCCTAACAGGATTGTTTTGACACTGTCTGTACCAAACACGTCTTTACGTAATTTGAGAAACAATGTGAGCGCAAATAGGCGCATATTTGCGCCTGTCTGTCTGTCTGTCTATGACTGTCTTGAGGTAACCAAGCCCTGACAATATTTAGAGGATATTGAAATTATAGTTTGTTTAATGGGGTTGTTTTAGCTGTTGGGCTGTGAAACCAAACAAGACTTAGCTGGAAATTGGAGATGTAGTAAAATCAAAGCGTAGTGGTTTTAATGTGGGGTTTCTGAAAGTAACCTGGGAATCGGGATCTATATAAAAATTTGCTTGGCAACTTATAGTAAATTTAGACCAGAGGATTTTTTATTTTAACGTCTTATTTTTCAATTATTAGATGTTATTAGCATTATATAAGGCCTCTTAAGCCTTTATATACGGCTTACGAATGTTTTGAGGTGGCAGGGATTTATTCATTATTTTGTGACCTATCAAAATAAATTTGTATAGAAATGTGTTCTAAATGGGCGCTAAAACATTCACCATTTTATTTCATTTTCCATTAGGCTCAATTTATATTGCGGCGGAACGGAATGGAAGCGAATTTTTGTAACGATATTGAATTTATATTCAATTTATGTTATAGTCAATTGTGTAACGTACAAACTAGATTCGAGCCAAAATCTTCCGCGGAATGCGCGAGAATTCTCGACTATTCTCATTATTCGAGCATTCTCATTATGCTACAATGTACAATATCGTTACAAAAATTCGCTACCATTCTGTGCCGCTGCAATATGAATTGAGCGTTATTTTTTCATTTTAGTTTGACGACTTGAGCAATTAAAAACAGTTAAACTATGAATTCTTAATGTGTTTGTTAATATTGTTTAATTTTAAAAGTCGACGGCTGTCTACGTCAGGTCTAAAGTGAATTTATTTATTTTTATGATAAAGCCACGCAAATGCTCATTTTAACTGCGATTACCATTGACTTACAAATAAATGGACGACGGGTCTAATACAAAAACCACGAAAAAAATGTCCCAAGTCAACCTATTCGAAATTTAAATTGTAATGTCATCGCAGTATCGCGCTGTCAGTAGAACAAATGAAGACTAAAGCGGAGTGTCGCGCTCTGTATACGATTTTAGCGCCTTACAAGTGCGGACACTTTTTAGCGCGGACCCGACGTCCATATAATTGTAAGTCAATGGCGATTACCCTTTATAATATTGCAAATTATATATTGTCAAATAAATTAATTGTTAAAGAAACGAAATTCTGACAAATGCTTCTATGATCTATGTATACATGATGTCTACAAACTATATTTTCGATGCGAGTTTCAATACAACGTGAAATTCACTACTTGTGTACATAAACATGTTCGTCCGCACATGAACTAACTGCCTTTGTTTACTTGATCTTGACTTGTAAACATATCAAAAATGTAATAAAACATTTTTTCTGTAAGTTCCTTGCGATCTAAGCTCGTGCCAAAATGTGGGCACTGCTGGCCTTCGCTCCAATATGACTACTCCTTATTATTCCGTTCTAGAATGTAAACAAGTTACTAGTTGTAAGTACTTTACTGTAATGTATGTCATAACCGTAATTATTATAATAGGATCTTAGTTATGTAATATTTTTAGTGGAGAGTGTATGTATGTCGCGGTATATGAATGTTTGGACTGTATGGTGATACCGTTGTAGGAATTATTACAATTGATAAGACAAATAGTCGATTTGTGATTTCAATTTTGGTGAAACTGGTGCTGTGAAGTTCAAATGCCTGCGACATACTGTGAGATAATGTTTATTGGATCAGACATACTGACATATGTGATTTTTTAAATTATTTTATAACGTACTGTGAATCAGTGTGTTGCGCGCATACAAACGCGACAGATGTTCCTCTAAACTTCTTATTCACAAATTCATACCCCTTGTAATCATCTTTTGTTACAATTTACGTCATGGTATAAATAAATAGGCGAATAAAATTGTGTGTAACTAGGACATACGCAGTTTCATTGTAAACCTATATAAAATTAAAAAACGGTCACTGATTATACAGACTTTATTAAATTATACATACCTATAATTAATTTGAAAACATTACACTGATCTACTCTTTAATGAAATGCGAATCTAACATTTATCTTTAGACATTTCGTGTATACATACCTGCCGGTATAATTAACGTACTATAGGCAATAGAAAATATTTAAAAATTGCACCTAATTAAAAACAACGAATTACAAAAGTGCGCCATCCTACGTTAATTAACATGGAAATATGAAAATACAATTACACATTGAAAAATTGGAATCGTAAGGTAAAAGTTTAGTACAAAAAGGTAAGATAGATGAGATTGTATTTGGCATTCACCATTTCTAATTGAAAAATCAGTCTTCTAAACTGAGCACACGTGAAGAGAGATTATGGGCTGTGCTGTACACTCCTAATATTAAGGGTCACCTCACACTCGTCGTCAGTACCGCGCCCACGGGACTGTATTGCTGATTACTCCTAGAAATTGATATTTTGTAACATTTTCGCTGCGAGTTAACCACAAAGCAATTTGATGACAATTTTGTGTTCAAAACTTTTTTCCATCCTCGCTTGGGTCGCGTAGTTTTATGGGCATGGTGCTAGCCAGTGGTGTTCAACCTTTATGTCATTCTGACCTCACTTTAATATGTTTTGGTAAGATCATAACTTCACTAAAACCACACGAAGAAAAGATCATAAGCTAGAGGATATAAAAAAAAAGTCATACAGCCTCTGCTTGTCTCTAAGAACAGGTATCAGAATGATCGACATTTGCCTTTCAAAGCCAAAATAATGATAGTCCATCTTGAGAGGTGATCTTATTAATTAAAAGTTATGTAAATAACTAAATTTAACTACTGGAAATATCAAAATGTATTTGTATACAAGTCCGATGTTATAGCACGAACTTGGGTAATGAAAACCTTTAACACCGAAGAGGAGATATTTTATATTCGAGGTTTTTGTAAAACAACATCAAAAGCAACATTTGACGCTTAATATTAATAAAAAACTTAAAATAAATATTTGCAGTATGTAACGAAAATTAATTTCTCTAAAAATAAATTATGTATGGACACAGACTTATATAATAATAATAATAATAATAATTATATATTCGATCACAATAATTTACGAAATGTATATAGCTACTGAAACTTATTTTCAAGTTCCTTTTTGCATAAAACGGTTTTACTCGACATGACGACTCCGGTAACAAGACGGTAACCCCTTTACCGTATGTACTAGATTTTATCTGACAGAATTCTTTGTTGTTGGTCATTCTCCGTAGAAGTAATTCGCCATATTATAGAATATTTTATGATCTTAGTCAAAAAATGTATCGAGTAAAACCCGTGAGATAGAAATCTATGTAGAGACCTTAAACAGTTTCGTACTGACTGCGGATGGAGCGGGCGAGGCAGCAAGCAAACACGACGCCCAAGAACTGAAATAAAGCGATAAGATGTTTAAAATTCAATGGCAATTTATTAAATAATTTTTTGGATCAAGGCACCGCGTTGCGCTGATACCAATAGCGATCCAAAATTAGGAAGAATATTAAAATCAGACAACATTATCCGTGTCCGTCAGGATGGCTGGACCAAACGAGATATATAAATCAAACTATAAATGTATTTTCTACAATTTAGTATCTTTATTGAAATATTTTCCATCTTTGCGCTAACGGAAATATTAAAGAAATATGCTGACATCAGGTTGGCTGGACAACTTTACGTTTTTCATGGTTCTGGCAGCATTTAATTTCCTTTTTTATGTAACTATTTACTACCTAATTTCTACCTAAACCATTGACTTACAATTATATGGACGTCGGGTCCGCGCTAAAAAGTGTCCGAACTTATAGGGCGTTAAAATCGCATACAGAGTGTCATTCACGCTCTAGTCTTCGTTTGTTCGACTGACAGCGAAGCAAGCAAAATTAGACAGTACTGCGATGACATTACAATTTAAATTCAATGTTTTAGCTTTTTCATATTCCTTGACATGTCACTACGTTTAAATAGGCTGACTTGGGACATTTTTTTTTCGTGGTTTTTGTACTAGACACGTCGTCCATTTATTTGTAAGTCAATGACCTAAACATACCTTTTTTTCCCACTATTTTAGGAAGCTTCTATAAAAAGTTCTTTGAAAAAAATAATAAAACGCCTTTGCAAAAATTATCATCTAAAAAGATAGTTTATCTTCTCCGTGTAATTGCTAATAATAATTTTGCAGGCGCTTAGACTATGCCGATAATGGTTTCTGGATTTCTTAAATTCAAATGTAAGTGTGCATTTGACCTCCATCTCACCTGATGGAAAGTGACGATAAGGTCGACGATGGAGCACATGCACACCTTGATAATGCCTATTCACTCTCGACTTGAAAAGGTCCATGTTATAACGTTCAGGGAACAAGTCTGCAGGCAGGAAATTCCACTCCATAGCCGTTCGCCATATAAATGTGGAAGCGTAACGCTTCGTGCGAATCTTTGGAATATCCACAACATAGGGGTGGTGGTGGCAACTGATGATGGAAAGGGGAAGGCGGAAATAAATCGTGTAATTCCATCGTACACTCTCCGTGATACATCATGTAAAATATATATATATATATATATATATATACATATACACACATACATAATGTAAAATACCGATAAGCAGGCAACTTTACGGCGGTGTTCAAGGCTCTGCAGCTTCGCCTCTACTATTTCCGAGTCACCTATAAGCCTCTTGGCACGCTTGTCAATTGAATCAAAAGTGGCCAGTTGATATGTAGCAGAGCCATCCCAAAGGTGGCAACAGTACTCCATACACAAAAAAATGTAAATTCCATTTGTAGGTATTAAGGTATGCGAACGAATTATAATCAGTTATTTAATAATCGTTTAGTTGTCATTTGATACTAAATATTCGAAACTACTCAAAATATTCACAATGGTGAAAATCATTAATAATTAAAAATAGTAATAAACAAGTAATATAAACGCATTAATGATGAAAAGAGGTAGATCTTCAGCATTACCATTAGAAAAACAAAAAAGCGTGATTTCTAAGTTTGAAAAGTATTTTTAGGTATCCTTTACCCTGCGATCCAGTGTTCAGAAATCTTAGTGAACTGTTAAATATAAAATGTCAGAAAAAGGTTCAATTTTATCAATGGGCCAGTTGATAATTACTTTAATTTCAGCTTGACACTGCTTACAAGCTCCTGTTAATATAATGTGTTCCTCCTTTCGAATATAATAATTTTTAAAAATCAAATTACGCGGGCTTCGGATTTTCTTCTCTTATTAAACTGATGTTTTGGGAAAAGAGAATTTGTCTTGAAATCTGATAATTTGTCTCTATTTCATCTTATGCACTTTACGACTGGCTGTATTTTCTGCCATTGATAAATGTCTATATAAAATTCAAACGTTTTGTCTGTGGAAGACACATTTTAAGCATTTCATTGTCTTCCTCTTGAGATTTAGGGTCGTATTCCAGAACTCTACTCAATGCTCAAGTCAGGATCTGAGTATGATTTCAAGCACTGGAAATACGACCCTAATGGCAGGGACTTGTGTAAGATTTCGAGTGCTTTAAACCATACTCAAATCCTGACTTGAGCAGACTTGAGTATGATTTCAGGCACTGGAAATACGACCCTAATGGCAAGGACTTGAGTATGATTTTCAGTGCTCACTGCAATACTCAAGTCCTGACTTGAGTATTGAGTAGAGTTCTGGAATACGACCCTAAATCGATCGGTCGATCGAAAAAGAAGGCGTAATTTTTAATAATTTACTGATATATACCTTTCTTTTTCTGACGTCTTATATTGTAACAGTTCACTAAGATTTCTGAACACTGGATCACAGGGTGAAGGAAGGTCATTTATATCTAAAAAATATTTTTCAAACCTAAAAATCACATTTTTTTGTTTTTCTAACGGTAATGCTGATGGTCTACCTCTTTTCATCGTTAATGCGTTTATATTACTTGTTTATTACTATTTTTAATTATTAATGACGTTATGAAAGCGGACTTTACACAACTATTTTCACCATTGTGAATATTTTGGGTAGTTTCGAATATTACTATCAAACGACATCTAAACGATTATTAAATAACTGATTATAATTCGTTCGCATTTCTTAACCCCTACAAATGGAATTTACATTTGTAATATGGAATTCAACTAGTAATGAATATAATAATTGTTATAAAATATAGCTTGCAAAGATAATCCACAAACCATTGTTGGCATAGTCTAAGCGCCTGCAAAACTATTATTAGTAATTACACGGAGAAAATAAACTGTCTTTTTTAGACGATACTTTTGGAAAGGCGTTTTATTATTATTTTTTAAATAACTTTTTACAGAAGCTTCCTAAAATAGTGAAAAAAAGTATGTTTAGGTAGAAATTACGTAGTAAATAGTTATATAAAAAAAGTAAATTATATGCTGTTAGAACCATAAAAAAACGTAAAGTGGTCCAGCCAACCTGACGTCAGAATGGCTGGCAATTTTTTTCTTTAATATTTCCGTTAGCGCAAAATTAGAAAATACGCCAATAAAGGTACTAAACAGTAGAAAATAGGTAGTAAATAATGAGCAGTTTGGTCCAGCCATCCTGACGAACACCATTATCCTGGTCCTTAATCTACGAAATTTGACTCATATTTTTTTATCGCATTAGTCAATTCGCATGAACATGCTGAACATGGATCTGAAGTTAGTTTTTCGATATTCCACACTAATACCAGATATAAGAACACCGAATAGAGGCGCGCAGCCGCCGGAGGAGCTAGCACGGTGCCTCTTTAAACTATTCGCAACAAGTCTCGTGCGGTTGCTCATGGTGCCGCACTATATACATTTTCAAATCAATTTGAATTTTTTTCTTTAAAAGATAAGATTCAAAATGCTCAGTAAATACTTTGCAGCAAAAATGGCTCCTCCGGCCGCTGCTATTTCAGTGTGACTTCATCATAGATTTAGTGTATGGACTTGATCTTAGAGGATAGAAAAAAATAAAGGATAATCTAAGAAGATGACCTCTTTTTTTAGCAAAATGTCCCACTTCGAACCATTTGGCTAAAAAAAACAACCTTTTCATTTCTCATGCTCTTAGGGTCGTATTCCAAAACTTTACTCAATGCTCAAGTCAGGATTTGAGCAGATTTGAGTATGATTTCAAGCACTGGAAATACGACCCTAACGGCAAGGACTTGAGTATGATTTTCAGTGCTCACTGCAATACTCAAGTCCTGACTTGAGTATTGAGTAGCGTTCTGGAATACGACCCTTAAAGTTCGTATTTATGCTGGGTGTAGGCTACATAAAATAGGATTTTATGCTCTAGTGCATAAAATAAAAAAAACATCACATTAAATATGTCTAATTGTTGTAATTTTAGATTCTTATTTGTAATATTGCTGTTTAATTTCCTCGCAATCGAAGTGAATATACTATATATATATATATAACCCATTTTACCCTCGACTTAATTATCCACTCTCGCCTGCGGCTTGGGTTATTATGCACTTGTTGTACAATCTACTAGTAGTAGCTTGTATGGTATCACTAGAGTGTAATTTCACGAATATCTTTTTCATTCTTGATATTTCTTTCTAAATTAAACTCTTATTCGCTTATTAGGATGCTGGCAGACGTCGGACAATATGTAACCGATATTTTGTAAGATAAAGTAAAACAATGTGAATCTTCTACGAGTAACAAGAATGCGATTTAAAGCTCTGAATGGCACTGCAATTGTTATGGACAGGCGTGTAGCTTACCATCAGGCGCACGACTTGTTCGTCCCGTCACTTGATATTATAAAAAAAAAGAAATTTCCCAATAAAATAGTTCTTACAGGAAACGGCTGACATTTGCCGACCCTGATAGAACCCTTATGTGTTTAATTAGGACAAAAGTAGGAGAGCAATTTTCAAGGATGCGTGGCATGAATCGGTTAGAAAGTATGTCACCGACATAGTCGTTCGTACTTGCGTCCTATAATCGGTCTACTAAAGTCAAACGTCCGCGAACAACGTAGGTGAAGATGACATGATTTGTCGTAAGTATGTGAAAGTACAACAAATGTTTACACACGTGGCGCAATTTTCCTTGCACAAATTGTATTAATATTTAACAAATTTAAATTTCGAAACGGATATCTGCTACGGAAAGTTATAATCTTATACTATAGTCCTTTTTTAAAGTATATAGGATGTTTGCCATAGTCAAATATTCTTATTAAAAAAAACTGACCTGCACAATAGCGATGCCCAGTCCAACACCTCCAAGCCAGAATGCAATGCTCTTGAGGAATGCGACAAGGCGCGGTACGCAGCCCACGTGGTGAACATTCGGAGAGGTGGAGGAGCACGTAACTGGCGTGTCAGCCATTATTTCTGCGCAGCATGACGACGCTACTTTCATGCCCATCTTTTCCCAGTCCTCGGGGCCGTTGATACCGCAGCATTTCAGCTGTGGAAGTGAGATTGTAATTTCAAACGCATTTTACGTGATACGTGATCGAGGATCGGAACTTCAAATAAAATCATGTTGGATATGGGTCATTATCGGTCGGCCTTATTTTCTAAGAATAAGTTGAGATCTAAAAAGGCTCTACTGTTGATTTTCATCAACCCCTTATATGTTCCCACATATATTCCACTGCTGAGTAGGTACGGGTCTTCTCTAAGGAGAGGGTTTAAGCCATTGGGTTGGCCCAATGCGGGTTGGGGACTTCACACGTTTTCATTAAGTAGAAACCGTTTTATAGGCTAACACATATCAGAATGCATAACGTCATATTGTCCGTCTTTTTTACTCAAAAATCAACGACTACAAAAGACATGTCATCATTCTGACTTGCTACGTCAGACTCAGACGTGTCAGAGCTTGTATTTTGTTTTATCGCAGTTTAAAACTTTATAAAACTTATTTAGGAATATTTTTCTGCAAATTGTTTTATGGATGTCGTATTACTTACTAACACGAAATGTCAGACGCCGCAGTACAGGATTATATGGATTCGCTAAAGGTGAAGGCAGAGCTTCTTATTAAAAACGAATTTCCGAACAAAATTGTTAAGTTGAATAATTTACTGGTGAAACTGAATTTCCATAACAAGAAATTGACTGATGTGCATCAAGACGTGAACGTACCAGTGCCCCCTCCCCTGGGGCTTGAAACGGCGAAACGCCGGAGAATCGACCCAATAATGAGGTCCGCTAACATGGAATGGGCAAAAGTGTACACGCTGCCAAACGGGCCAGCGCCTTGCAATAGGTCACTCAGTGATCTCATACATCTCGTGAAACCACACCTACGGGAATTGATCGAAGACACGAACTTATTAAAACTATGGATCTCTTATTTGATACCTAAGATTGAAGACGGCAATAACTTCGGTGTTTCCATACAGGGTAGAACTCTTAAGGAGATTCAGCAGGCGGAGTCGAAAGCAGAGGAGTTTCTAGAACACATCTCGGAGTATTTCGTAACGAGAGCGAAGATAGTCTCGAAAGTGGTAAAGTATCCGCACCTTGACGATTACAGAAGAGCGGTGCGCGAGTTGGACGAGAAAGAGTATTTGTCGCTGTGGCTGACAATGTGCGAAGTGAGAAATCGGTACTGCGTTCTTCATGACATCGTTACCAAAAATATTGACAAGATCAAGAGGCCGCGAACTACTAACATAGACACCTTGTATTAAGTAAACATTAGCGCTTATGTATACCATTTGTGTATTGTCTTGGGCTATGTAAATTATAAAAGTGGAACAATTATTATTAATTTAAAACAGTCTTAAAATAAGTATAATGCAATTGATGATGTTATGTTTTACCCACAAATCTTGGCAATATTTTATTGTGAAATTAAACACGATTTTATATTTAAACTTGCGTGTGACCTTGCTTTTTATCGCGATTGATGGTGCAGTTCAGCGAATTTTGTGCTTTTGAATGAAACCGACTGACAAACTCAAATAAATTCAATGCTATGATTTTTAGGGTTTTGTTTATATTGCAATAGTTATATAGTATAGTAGTTATATATAAGAGGGCATTTAATGTAATTACTGTACGCATACCTAACCAATAATCTTTTAATAGATCGATGCGATAGATCGAACTTGGATCATGTTACCAGGATTATACAAGATTATTAAAATTTTTATATTACCTGCCAACCAATCGTTGAGAGGTCTATTGCTTACATTATTTTGTAAGTATGAAGTAGGTGTACATATCAATGTTTTTGGATATCATCGGAGCAGGCCCACAAGAAAGGAAGGCGGCACTTACGTCGGTCTGAAGAATGTCGAAGGTCCTGGTGATATCCGTGTCAGTGCCGTACTTGGGCATGCTTTCGTTGAGGTGGCGCTCGATGGAGGCCTCGAGATCGCCGCGCTTCACATATCCCGCGATGCCAACAGCCAGTTCAGCCACGAAGATTATCAGCAGTAGCACCGAGAACTGAAGATAGAACAAATTACAATGTTATACGTCACCGTTAAAGTATGTTTATCTACATTTACACAGTTGTGGCATAATCTGTAAATAACAGTTGAGTACAGACTGTTATAATAAATGCATGTTATCTGTAACACGTACATATAAATCCTGTTAAAGTAGTAGTAACTTACAGAACGTTATATCTAAATCAAAGCACATTTTACAACACTTCATTTTCATTCAACATTTATTAGAAACCGATAAAAAATCTTAAAATTTATGCTATCAACGGCGTAAGAAAACCAGTTTTGGTTTTGTTACACCACCATTCATCGTCATCTGTTACGAAAAATTAAATATAATGATGTTTCGAGTTCTTATAGTGATGTTATTTATATTGCACCCATTGTTAATTAATATTTGAAGTATATTCGTCACATGCATGGCTTTAGGCCAAAGTCCACCACTTCCAGACTTTATACATACATTACATACAAGACTGATAACTCCGTACAAACGTAGCACAACCAAAGAAATTCGCATTTTTTTTTAAATCTATTTAAATACGGCCACATGACCCGTATAATATAGTTTTCTTTTCGAATTGCACTTATCGGCAACATTTGGCGCAATAGGTGTCTGCTAACCGGCCGCGGAATCGCCGATATACGATTCCTTTCGACCAAAAGTCCTCCTTTATGAAAGTAGACTGACGTTCGGTAGGCACTCTCACCATAAACGAATTAAAATTCACGTTGTGGCGGGAATATATAATGCTGGACAACAACCGCTGGACCCTCAGGGTGTATTTGGCTTTTAATCTGATGTACTCCACTATCACACTATCCACTAGGACATAATTTCCCAAAGTGGTCCATACCGCCCCTCAGTGGGCGCTGAAAAGTCCTTTTTTGGCGGTAGGGGCCTCGGAAGCGACTGAGGGGCGTTAATGCCACCGCATTTGGAGAAAAAAAAACCTGAAAAATCTATATAAACTACAGTACATAAATATATTTTTTTCCTTGTGATTTTATGTGTTAAGTTAACACATTAATTATTCAATCAATCAATTATTTTTTGTGGTGGTGGGCGTTGAATTTTTTTCTCTTGCCTTAAAAGTGGTCGGTGAGGGAAAAAGTTTGAGAACCTATGCACTAGGACAATAAGGCTCCTCAAACTTCATGGAGTAATGCAGTCGCGACAGGTACAGCAGCGTCGTCGGTTATGGTCGGACGCAGCAGAAAATTCCGTCCTGCCGGTGCTGTGCCACTCAAGTTAACGGCTGGTGGGCGTCCTATTCATCTTCTCCACCTTTGTATAGCCGTCCTCATCGTACCGGTCCGTCAGCCTCTGTGGTTTTGCAACTTTAGAGACAGGCACACAGGGATTGCTTTTTCCTTTAGCAGAGTGGCGCCACTCGAGTCGGAAGTAATGAAAGGCGAGTGAGGCCACCAGCGCTGATCAACGCGAATGCATCGCGCGCGAGATTATGCGAATGTGTTCGAAGATCGTACTGGGCACGCGACGTTACATTACGCGCACAGCTACAAGTCACGCTGCTATGTTTGTATGGAATTATCATACTAAACTTGTCTTACTATAGGTAATATGCTTTATACGTCATCAATGAGTTTCGTGACCTTGTCCGACATGCAGGTATCGCCACTAAAGCAAGTGATAATGAGTATACTAAACAGGACATGAATCCGAAAGTGACTCGGTGGTGCCTCTTGGCGGGGATCATACCTAGGATGTCCGATTTTAGAGGCAGGCGTTATTTCATCTAAGCTATCACAGTTTCCATTCTGTATAAACTCCAGTTTATATTTCACAACTCTCTCGAATAAATGATTTAGTTTTTACAGTAGGTAAGCAGTTTGGGTCTGTTTCAGATAACCTCGTTCCATAATAAACGTGATGTTTAGTTAACCCTTTTGTTTGGTAAAAGATTTTTTTATGATATCATGACGAAACGAAGAAGTCGTGGGTGGTGGTGTGATATATATCAGTTGCAGTGCCCCTCAGACCTTTGAATCGCAAAATTCTGAGGAGCCCTGCCACTGCGTCCGTCACCTTGAGACTTAAGTAGCCAGTCCCATGTGCCTGGAATTGCAGTTGCATCCTTAACCTTCAAAACCGGAATGCAGAAATGCTCACATTACTGCTTGGTGACAGAAATAGGTAAGGTGGCAGTATTTACCTGGACAAACTCTTTCACAAGGAGTTCTACTACTACTAATGCTCAAAATTCATTATAAATGATGCTCGTTACTCGGTACTAAAGCTGCCATCCACAGCACCTACTTTATATACCATTATGTACTCTTTTAACGAAACCTTCTAATTTAGAAGCTAAACAGAGTCCCGTCACGTCAACGTCTAAGTGGTTAAGTGAACATATATCATGCTGTGAAGAAAATTGGATTAAGGCGTTAGTTTCATTCATCTTGATTTCTCAAACAAGTTCATTTCTCCAGCTCTACTCGAGTTAAATATAAGGCGAGCAGCAATCATATAATACTGGGTCCTAAGACAGCTCATTTTCTTGAAATCACTGAACACACACACTTTTTTTATAATACCAAGCGGCGGGAGGAACAAGTCGTGCGCCTGGTAGTAAGCCACATGTCTGCCCATAACAGTTGCAGTGTTACTCAGAGTTTAAAATCATAAAGATCTGGGAGCACCGCCACTGCGCCCGTCATAGACATAAGTTGACAATTCTCATGTGCCTGTAATTTCACAGCACCATTACCCCTTACAACCGGAACACAGTAATGTGACCATTAGTGCTGTGACGATGTGACCTCCTTACATTGTCATCCCACCTTTTTATCGCCTTTTCTTCGGTTCCTGGCCACTCGTTCTTAAATTTTGAATCGTTCTTTAATTCCTTTGTCTCACCATTCTGATTATGTTTCGTTCCATCGTCACTCCCTGCTAAATCGCCGTAGCGAACGGTACTATTTTATCACAGTAAAATTAAAAATAACAATACTATATGTACCCAATATATATATGTACTCTAATTTTTAATCGCGAATTTTGATACCCTTTGCCAGTTAATAAGTTAGTTATAATAAAATCATGTACCGATTTTAATACTACTTAAACATAGTAATTCTGTAAACTCGGCCCTTTTGGGGTAAGTGTCTGGACAGTTTGTTATTATAATATAGTGTTTTATACTGTTGTACCTGTTTTTATATATCTTTTTCTTTACAGCCTTATACTTCAACTTCAATAAATTTTGGGAGGACCGAAGTATCTTATTTATTAGCCGTGATCTTGGTCACGGTTCGTTAGGGTTACAACCCTTTCAGTGCTTGGCGGTAGAAACAGGTAAGGTGGCAGTACTTACCACCATGGACGAGCTCTTTTACAAGGAGCTCTACTGCTACTAGACTCTACTGATTATATTGCAATTATGATACCTAATATTTGTTATTCTGCTAAGCTGCTTAAATCTAGTTGCAGTGGCAGTTGAGTCTCAATAGAGCGTCAGTGTAATGGCATTCATTCATTCATTCAATCACTAACGATCGATGTCGCCTTATTACAACATGCATGCACAAGCATGGAAATTACTACGCTTATCTTAATTTTTATCAGCAATTTAAGTCTTCAAATTATGTGTATTTTTTATGTCAAACAATTGGCAGTTTACGCCATCGACGACGTGCCATCGACTTGCCATTCAAGAGCACAATACCAAAAAATTTAAATGGCAGTTGAATGGAACCTATCACAAATTCGATATCTTTTTTCCGAAATAACGTTTGTTCAAATTTTCATTACACCGAAAATCGAATTATAACGAAACCGTTGTTCTTTCAGGATATGTTGGATGTTTATCGCAAAGACACGATTAGGTTCGGTTAGGTTAGATTAAGTTAGGTTTAAAAGAAAAAACATTTTCCTCTTAAAATTAGGTACTTTCGAGGTTATGAAACATTCGAGCAACCGTTATTTCCGGAAAATGTCATTTCGGATTACTGATAGGTAACCCAGTTCAATAGTAGCTCGATGGCTAGCCACTCATTCATTAGTCATTACTCTTAACTTTGAGCAGAATATCAAACGCACAAAATTCTGCCGCTGACACTATCGACACATAAAAGAGCAGCACTTAGTAGCAGTGAGCTCCTTGTGAAAGAGTTCGTCCAGGGAGGTACTGCCACCTTACCTATTTCTCCCGTCAAGCTGTATGTAGTATTACTGTGTTCCGGTTTTGAAGGGTAAGGGTGCTGGTGAAATTACAGGCACGTGGGACTTGTCAACTTGCCCCTCAGATATTTGCGATTTAAAGCTCTGAGTGGCACTGCAACTGTTATGGACAGGCGTGTAGCTTACCATCAGGCGCACGACTTGTTCATCCCGTCACTTAATATTATATAAAAAAACTGAGATGATTTAAAATTAGTTAGACTTAGTGCCCCTGGTAGAATGAATTTAGCCTTAACTTTGACAATGTCGTCACGGTTGACCGGTTTATGTTTCGACGACAAAAACTCCCGACCGGTTTTACACTTATATCGAATTTGTTAGGCTGCCAGTGCCACCTTTTTGTAGAATTGTCAGTGCCGAATTAAGTAAGATATAGAGGAACTAAGGGTAAGTGCCCTTAGTATTCTAAATTGATGACGGGCCTCTTCCTTCAGTACCTACAAACTTTCCACTAAAATAATGATATGACCGAGGAAGCTAGCTCCGAAATAAAATATTTTCACGAACAAGGCTAAAAATTATTTAGCTCGAAAAAATAGCAAAAATATTAAGCTGGAACATAAAAAAATATTCGCCCTCACTGTTTTGATTATTTTTTATAGCCTATGACATTCCCACAATCAAGACGAATCTAACGACACCTCATATGTCAAAATCAATCAAGCCGTTCAGGCTGAACAGCGTGAAAAAGAAATGGACATACACTCGAAAAACATAACTCTCCCGCAGTCGAGTAAAATAATGTATATTTTGTATAATTATAGTGTTTTTCATATCCTTCGAGGGTGTGTTCA